TCAGTGCCACCGCAGCAGCGTCGGTAGCGCCAAATTACATTCCGCTGCGCGCGCGAGCATGCGCGGGCCAGCGCGGCCGCAAAGATGCACCAGCCAACCCCTAGCACTCATCGCAACCGCCGCCGCATGGGTTGTGCAAGCTAAGTTGTGAGTGGGTGGGTGGGATGATTGCGCGAGCAGTGGAGTGGACACGTCACTGCGAACATGAATGAATTCTCTTTTCTAAAAATAAAATTGACTCTACCCTCTGGCATTATCCGCCCCCCTTTCGGGTATGTAAATCATACATGATTCTGGCCACATGTCCATCCTAAAGATGAATTTGCACTATATCAAGGGGGCCAGTATCGGCCCCTCTGAGGTTCCCGGGTGAAAAAAACAATACGCGGGGACATATTTTGCTCTAGCACAAGACTTGCTCACGAATCCCTTGCGAAAAATAGGACGAAGTGCACGCCCGCGCGTCGTCGCGCGCGCATGCCGAAATCCTTCGAAAACCTTCGGTGTCGGAAGGATTTCGCCATCGAGTTCCCAAAAAAACATACAACAACACATGGTTTCGCAACTCTGATTTGTAAAAAACTTACGCGCGAGCTCTTGCGATATCTGAAGAAACCATATTTTTTCAAGATTTTCACACAATGGTACAAAACTGGCTTCGCGCGCGCATGTCGAAATCTGTCGAACGCCCTTGCGCGTGTGCCGTCGCGAGAATCCTCTGCAAAAAACAAGACGAAGTGCAGACGCGCGCGTCGTCGCGCGCGTATGCCTAAATCCTTCAAAACCCATCGGTTTCGGAAGGATTCCACATCGTGTGCCCAAAAAACCTACACAAAAACACGCGGACTTTCAACAAAAGCGTGCGCGAGCGCTCTTGCGTCGTCGTCGTCGTCGCCGTCCTCCCTCCTCCCGCGTCGTCGTCGTCGTCGTCGCCTACGTCGTCCTCTGGCTTTCCTCGTGTTCGTCGTCGTCGTCCTCTTTGGCGTCGTGGTCGTTTCCGTCGTCGTTGTCGCCGTGGTCGTCCTTCCTCCTCCTCCCTCGTCGTCGTCGTCGTCCGTCGTCGGCGTCTCGTCGTCGTCCCTCCTATTTCGTCGCCGTCGTCGTCGTCGTCGTCGTCGTCGTCGTCGTCGTCTTCCCTCCTCCCTCGTCGTTGTCGTCGTCGGCGTCGCCGTCCTTCCTCCTTCTTCGTCGTTCGCGTCGTCGCCGTCCTCCCTCCTCCCTCGTCGTTGTCGTCGTTGTCGTCGTCGTCGCCGTCGTCGTCCTCCCTCGTCGCCGTCTTCGTTGGCGACGTCGTCGTCGTCTTCGTCGTCGTCGTCGGCGTCGTCATCGTCTTCGTCGTCGTCGACGTCGGCGTCGTCGTCGTCGCCGTTGTCGTCGTCGTCGTCGTCGGCGTCGTCGACGTCGTCGTCGTCGGTGTCGTCGTTGTCGTTGTCTTCGGCGTCGTCATCGTCTTCGTCGTCGTCGACGTCGGCGTCGTCGTCGTCGCCGTCGTCGTCGTCGTCGTCGTCGTCGGCGTCGTCGACGTCGTCGTCGTCATCGTCGTCGTCGTCGTTGTCATCGTCGTCGTCGTCGTCGTCGGCGTCGGCGTTGTCGTCGTCGTCGTCGGTGTCGTCGTCGTCGTTGTCGGCGTCGAAGTCGTTGGAGACGTCGTCGGTGTCGTCGCCCGGCTGGGATGTGCCCAGCAATCAGCGCCACCGCGGCCGCGTCGGTCGCGCCAAACTAGCTGGCCGCTGCGCGCGCGCGCTTGGGTTGGCGCGGCCTCAGAGATGGGCCAGCTAAATCCAAACACTCATTGCAATCGTCACCACATGGGTTTTGCAAGCCAAGTTGCGGGTGGGTGGGTGGGATGGTTGCAAGAGCGTGGGATGTGTCAACTCGTTTGTTGTTAAAATCAATTTCGCACCACCGATGGCACCACATCGATAGCACCACATCTATTGATCCACGTAGATTGCACAACATATAGTACGCAACGCATTGGTTGCACCAAATAGATTGCACCACGGAGGTTGCATGACTTATATTGCCACCCACAAAAGTTGCACCACGTAGATTGTACCAAATGAATGTCACAACATCGATTGCACCACGTGTATTTTCTTTTGAATACAAAAGTCGGGTGTCCCCCCTGGGATTACCGCCCCCTAGGGATGTGCAGTGTACATACAATCCAGCTTCATTGTGCGCTCTAAATTACACTTCGTACAGTTCTGCACCCACCAGGACGATGATGAGTTCGTTGCTTTCCCCCCAAAACTCGCTTGGGATATTTGCATGCGGGGTCCTACAGTCGGAAAATTGTTTGGCGGCAACAATTGCGCTGGTGGGGGCCAATGTTTTTTCAACATGGGGCTTCGCCTCGACACATTGCCGCGCACGCTCGTTCTAACATGTTTGGCCCAGGATGAGGTGGCTGTTTTTCCAAGCAACTTTCGCGTGAGAGTTCTTCACATTTAATTGCCAGAGGTGTGAGCATACGCAAGATCTTTGAATATCTCTATATATAGAGAGACATCTTCAACAAACAGAGGCTCTCTCACCCTACTCTCTGGGGGGATCCAGAACACGTCTGTACAGCATCTACACGGCTGGAGAGCTATTCAACACGATGCTATCATTGGACAGTTCCTTGGACTTTGTTGTGGTACGTTGTCGCTTTCCTTGTATCCGTTAACATGAAGGGTGGCTGCTGTTTCAAAACTGGACAGTACCCTGAATGGAAAACCCGTCTGTCGCTCGTCTTGCTAGAAGGTACTTCCCGTAGCGAAACAAAATGCCTGCGATGGACTTCGGACGGGAGGGTGTGTTGCAGCATCTTTGATGCATCCTGGGTCTCCTCTTTTCGTCGTCCTTCTTTCTTCCTCCCTCATCCTTCCTCCCTACCCCCTACCCCTCCCTCCTTCTCCTCCCTCCTCGCCGTTCCCCCTTCTGTCTCCGCCGTCTGAGCCAGCTACTCAGTTCCTGAGTCGGCTCTTCATCGCCTCTTCTTTGTCATCATGTTACCTAACAGCGAAGACTGATAGGCTTCTAGTGGGGTCAAAAGAGAGCATCTTGACGCCCCAAGGGGGTCTGGGCGGGATCCGGACAAAACCGGACAAAAGGGTCAGCCCCAGGAATCCTTAGGAATCCGTAGGACTTCTTAGGAATCCATTCCCAGAACACCATTCCCAGGCCACATTTTGAAAGCCTGGAGCCAACTGTAGGCCACTTCGTGTTCTTCGTCTTCCCAGAACACCATTCCCAGGCCACATTTTGAATGCCCGGAGCCACCTGTAGGCCACTTCGTGTACTTCGTCTTCCTAGAACACCATTCCCAGGCCACATTTTGAATGCCCGGAGCCCACTGTAGGCCACTTCGTGTTCTTCGTGTTCCCAGAACACCACTCCCAGGCCACATTTTGAATGCCCGGAGCCAACTGTAGGCCACTTCGTGCCCTTCGTGTTCCCAGAACACAATTCCTTACAATATTTTGATTGCCCGGAGCCAACTGTGGGCCACTTTGTGATCTTCGTGTTCCCAGAACACAAGTCCTGTGCCATATGTTGAATGCCCGAGCTGAGGCAGGCTGAGGCCGAGGCAGGCTGAGGCCGAGGCAGGCTGAGGCTGAGGCTGAGGCACGCCGAGGCAGGCTGAGGCTGAGGCTGAGGCAGGCTGAGGCTGAGGCAGGCTAAGGCTGAGGCTGGCGCAGGCTGAGGGAGGCAGGCTGAGGCTGAGGCTGAGGCAGGCTGAGGCTGAGGCTGAGGCAGGCTGGCTGAGGCAGGCTGAGGCTGAGGCTGATGCAGGCTGAGGCTGAGGCAGGCTGAGGCTGAGGCCGAGGCTGAAGGCAGACTGAGGCTGAGGCTGAAGCAGGCTGAGGCTGAGGCTGAGGCAGGCTGAGGCTGAGGCTGAGGCAGGCTGATGCTGAGGCAGGCTGAGGCTGAGGCTGAGGCTGATGCAGGCTGAGGCTGAGGCAGGCTGAGGCCGAGGCTGAAGGCAGACTGAGGCTGAGGCTGAAGGCAGGCTGAGGCTGAGGCTGAGGCAGGCTGAGGCTGAGGCTGAGGCAGGCTGAGGCTGAGGCTGAGGCCGAGGCAGGCTGAGGCTGAGGCTGAGGCTGAGGCTGAGGCAGGGTGAGGCTGAGGCTGACCTTGAGCCGAGGCAGGCTGAGGCTGAGACAGGCTGAGGCTGAAGCTGAGGCTGAGGCTGAGGCTGAGGCTGAGGCTGAGGCCGAGGCAGGCTCAGGCCGAGACAGGCTGAGGCTGAGACTGAGGCTGAGGCTGCGGCTGAGGCCGAGGCAGGCCGGAGCTGCGACAAGGTGAGGCTGAATGGGGGGGGGGGGGAGGGGAGGCTGAGGCAGGCTGAGGCCGAGGCAGGCTGAGGCCGAGGCAGGCTGAGGCCGAGGCAGGCTGAGGCTGAGGCTGAGGCAAGCCGAGGCAGGCTGAGGCCGAGGCTGAGGCTGAGGCTGAGGCAGGCTGAGGCTGAGGCAGGCTGAGGCTGAGGCTGACGCAGGCTGAGGCCGAAGCAGGCTGTTGCTGAGGCTGAGGCAGGCTGAGGCCGAGGCCGAGGCAGGCTGAGGCTGAGGCTGAGGCAAGCCGAGGCATGCTGAGGCTGAGGCTGAAACTAAGGCAGGCTGAGGCATCCGTAGGAATCCATAGGAATCCTAAGGATTCCTAAGGATGCCTAAGGATGCCTTCGGAATCCCTAGGAATCCTTAGGATTCCATTGGATCCTAAGGCCGTTGCACTGCGACTGTCATTGCGAATGCGACTGCGACTGCGAGAACAGCAGAATTCTACAACTGGATTCTCACCTGAATCTTCAGAGGAATGCTTCCAAATATGCTTATACACATAACTGTTAGGTAACTTTGCCGGGATATTTTTTTCCCCTCCTCCGTCTCCCCCCCCCTCCCCCTCCTCCTCATCCTCCTCATCCTCCTCCTCCTCCTCCACCTCCTCCTCCTCCTCCTCCCCCTCAACCTGCTCCCCCCCCCTGGGAGGGCAGCCGGGCGGCAGATTGGATCCATCAGCTTGCACGGCCCGCACCAGGAGGTGGAGAAACTCAACACCAGCAGGGGGCCACCCTGGCAAACGCGGGAGGATGAGGAAGAGGACGAAAAGGCGGAGGAGACACAAGGAGGAGGAGGGAGGCAAACAAAATACGCTCGCGCCACATGCCAGAACTCGGGCCTCTGGCGGCCGTTCGCCACCCCCGGAATTATCTTTTCTCACCATACATCCTCCCGTCCTCCCCGTACCTCATCCCCCTCCCCTTCCTTCCTTCCTACCTCCCCACTTTTCTGGGACTCTCATTGGCAAAATGCTCTGCTGTTTGTGTTGGTGGCTGGGGGGCACGCGGCCGTGTCCAGGCCTCACCCCCACGCCGCCGCCCGAGCCGGCTCCCTGCGCCACATCGCGGGCAGGACGGGCTCGACAATCTCCCAGTTCTGGCCGTAACGGTCGCTGAGGTCACCTCTGGAAGCCTTGTCTACTGGATTGTCCGGCGATGATACGCGTTCCCACCAAGGATATAGACGCCGGGCCCGGCATGCCTCCCAAGTAGCGTACACGATCTCGTTGGTGTGGATGGCTTTGGCGGACCCTTTGATCAGAGAAAACTGGGCACCCTCATTATCGATGAAATGGATCCACACGCACTCCGTCAACAATGTAGGCCATGTTTCAAGGGCTAGTAGGGGCCCGACTGCTTCGATCTCCTGGATTACGTTGCCGCGCCGGCCGTCCTCCGACCACCGGCGAAGCCACTCCTGCGGGACGTCGGCTGCGGTCAATCTTGGCCGAAATCCTGGGTCGCTGGGCTTCCATATGCCTACCGCGACGCGCCCCGTGCCTTCCCCGTCGCTGACGGTGATCAGGAGGGGCCACTTGTCCAAGTCAAAGGGAACCTCGCGCCCCGACTGCTCTGACACAGCGGTCCAGAACCAGGACAAGGAAGCTCGCAAAGAAGACGGTAAACCACGTCGCTCCTTGTCGTCGAACTGTCTGCGCCGCAGCGGGACCAGGACAGCGGCTCCCTGCCGGCCGAACAAGAAAGATCGCGCCCAGCCTAGTCTCCCGCGCAGAGAGCCCGCCTCTGCCGCGCTCAAGCGACCCCGGCGCAGGTAGCCCTCCAGGTCCGCCAACAACGCCTCCACTCTGTCCCGAGGCAGCCGGGCCACGGGCCGCGGGCAGCCGACGTGGAGCTCTGCCCCTAACAACCTCCAGATGCTGGACGGGAGCGGCGATTTGGGGAAGTCGAGGCGCCACCCGATTTCCTGGTTGAGCCACGCCCAGCAGAACCACGCACATTCTGCTGTTGACCCACGCTCCACTGCCCAAGCGTCGTCGCTATAATGATGCATGGGGACGTCGAAGAAATGGCGCATCACCGAACACATCGCCGAAGGGTCTCGGACATAATTGAATTGGGTTCCAGCGCCCCCGAACACCTGTCCGAGGTTTCTCAGGAGAACGGGTTCTCCGCGGCCTGGGTGCCACACGGCGGACCACATGTACGGTATCTGCGAAGGGGACAATGGGCTCTGCCGGAATGCCCCGCTGTAGTCCGATGAAAACCCCGCCAGTGGCTCGTCGGCGCCCCAAAACTCCTTGCAGAACCTGACGGCCGCCCGCGCCGTGTCTAAGTCGTCGGGGGCGTACGACTCGTAGGTGTGCACTGTCCCGTTGGCCCCGCTCGCCTTCAGATTCTCAATGTTACGCGCCTTCCACTGGCCCTGTGAGCCCCGCTCCCACACTGGGAAACTTGGGTGCACTGCGATGGCTGACAAATCCACGTCGCTGACACGGAATGGGCCCTGCACAGCACCAGTCGCGATCTCAGCTTCCCGCTTCTCCCATGCCTTTTTGTCGAGCAGTGCATCTCCTGAGGATTTGACTGCAGCAACAATACTGGCATTTCGATCTGGGGCCTCCCTGATCCAGTCGCCCAGATTCACTCGAGCAGGTTTCTCCGCCACTCGCCATATACCTGCACCGTGCACGGGGGGGGGGCGCGGCTCTTCTGTGTTGTTACAGCGGGCAACGAGGGCAGCCCCCACTTTGCTTGCCCGACCCCAGGCACGGGGACCGTGGACGCCCCGGAAGACAGGGAGGAAGAGGATTGGAAATCGTGTTTCGACTTTGCGACAAGACCCCGCCTCCAACCTCGCTATCGGCCATGGGATTGTCAGGTTGCTGGCCTTACCGCCAGCAGCCAGGCCCCTTTTGCGGATGCCCCCGCTGCCCGCCCAGACGGAACGCTTTACCGCGTTTCCAGACGACCGCCCCCCCGCGCACGCACCTGCAGTCTCAATATGCCCCAGGGCCGGCCGGCCCGCGGACAGCGACTTGAAATACTCTGCATCGGGGTGGTTCGACATGGCCACAAGCTTCTGGAGTAACGGCCCATGCAAGTGGCCGATGACACTCTTCACGTCCGGATGCAGCGACTCTGCCCAGGCGTGCCTCTGATCTTGGAGCTCTTTCGACCACTCCGCGATCTGCGCGCGCGCCCGCATTCTCCTCGTGGGGACACGCACACACACACAACACACACACACACACACACGTACACACAGATGCACACGCATGGGATGTACATACGCACGCATCTCTCATTGCTGTGCTACTTACTCCCCTATTCCCGGGCGGGCGGCAGGCCGACCGGAAAAAGGGGCGCAAACTTGTACCGACAGATTTTGTGCAAGCAGCTCTGTTGCATTTTTCTTCAGTGCGGTCGGGGCCGTCGGCGGAGGCCGACCGGAAAAAGGTTCAAATTTGTACCGACAGATTTCGGACAAACCGTTGGGGGTCCACAAATCAAACAGTGCAGCCACTTACAACCCGAAGGCCTCCTGAGGCCTTCGGAGAAAATAAACCGCACCTGATTCGCCGATTATACCTGTTCTCGGGCACTGCATTTACAACAGCGCCCGACCCCAAGGTCCTCTCGGCGAGCTCGCTCGCTTCGGCCGGCTGTCGTCGGTACGCTGCGTCGACGGCGTCGCGCAGGACCGGAGGCGCCTGCATGGGGTGCACCACGGACGCCACGTGGTGCAGAAACCCGTCAGGCCCCACGCCCTCCGGCAGGAGAGGAGGGCCACCTGCCCCCCGAGGTTGCAATCCTCCCGCCACCGCGCGGGCAGCCCGCGCGGGCGCCGGAGCCGCGCCCGCTGGGTCCTGCGATTCCACACCTTGCGAAGTCTCAGCTGACGCTCTCAGACGCTTCTCTGGTGGCCCAGAAACGTCTTCACCATTGTCAACCAAGCCTCGCTGGGATGGTGCGTGGCTCGGGTGGGCGGGGGCTCACGCCCCCCTGTGCCCCTCGCGCGCCGGGTGGCTCTGGCCGCAGCCCTTCACGTTGCACATGTGCAAATACCTGCACTTCTTCCCGTAGGTGCACTTGCCGTCGTTGTAGAACTTGCAGATCTGCTCGCCCCCGAAAGACTCCACGCGCTGGAGGGCCACGCGGCCCCTCTTCGCAGCCGGCAGCTGCGCGTCTCCGTCCGCGCTGGACCTGTCGCCGTGCAGCTCCGAGAACAGAGACACCCACTCTGTGCGGCAACTCTGGACGGCCGCTGTGAGCGACTTGCCATCGCTGCGAACCGCCTCGACCCACTTGGCCCTCATCTGGCGGTCCGCTTCCGCGACGGCGTCCACGGTTGGGGTCCGACCGTTCCTGCGCTCGAACAGCTTGACGACGACCCACTCGTGGTAGTCGAGCAGGACTGACCAGTCCGCTGACGCCCAGTCAGGCGCAGCTGCCAAGGCCAGCGTGTTCATGAGCACCCTGTGCTTGTACATGAACCCGACGGCAGAGAAGGAGCCCGAGGTGTCGTCGTTGACCTTGGCACCAGAACCGCCGCCCGGCGCCGAGATCCCGGCCTCGCTGTTCAGCGCGCGGACCTTGCGCAGGTCGTGGACCGTGGGTGCGCGCCGCTCGTGCTCGCGGACCAGGCGGCCCGCCAGCGTGTCGCTGCCCATGAGGTGCGCTGGAAAGCGACTGTGGTAGTAGCCCACGAAGCTCGCCGTCTTCTTCTCGCGCACCTCTGGGTCGATCGGGTCGTCCCAGTCGCCGCCCTTGCCCTTGCGGATGAGGTCGAGCTCGCCCGCGACGAGAGCCTCTGCTTCCTGCCAGGCTGCTTTGACAGGCTGGCACAACGGCCGGTCGTTCCCATCCAAGCCCGCCGGGACGCAAATGCCCGCGACGGAGTCGGCCTTAGAGTCTGCCAGCCCGGCAAACTGACCTACAGTCAGCATACCTTTCTCACGCAAGTACTGCGTGACTTTCGGGTCCACCGCATACTTCTGGAGCAGCTTCGACAAACGCCCGTCGAGCTCTGCTGCCATTTTGGCCACTCGGTCACCAGGGTGGGTTCGTGGGAGTTCGCTAGCGCCACTGGGGCGCGCTGCCTGAGCCGAGATGGCTATAGGCAGCTCCGGTCGAGCTGGCAGGAGGCCCCAGGAGCAGGTGCAAGAGGAGGGCCGATCACGGCACCCTATCTGCGGCTGTCTGGTCTCTGTCCTCGCGTCCTGCCAGCGCTCGCCCACTCACACAAATGATGGATGAGGATCGCCTTCAACCCTGAACGCCCTGCCAATACTCGGATCACCAGGCCCACTTCAGCACAACGCACGTTCCATCTCGCAAGGCCTCCCACTGGCGCAGAGGAGGATTCTGCGTCATCAGCCCTTCCCTCAATCACTCAAGGGACGGAGGACGATGACCGGCCACGCCCTCACTCACAGAGATGATGGATGAGGATGGCCTTCAACCTGGAACGCCGTTCCCTCATGCGGCCCACCGATCTGCCACGCATACCGGCCCCTCCAACCTGCACGAGTCTCCACTGTCGCAGAAGAGCACTCTGCGTCATCTCTTCAACTCTACTCAAAAAGGTGACGGGATGAGGACGGCCTTCAACCTAGAGCGCCCTCCGCCAGATCATCTGAGCTCCTCGATCCTCTCCTCGGAAGCGCGGTTACCGTCGCTCCGAACCGAACGGCTCGGACTACCCAAGCATGGTACAGCGAACAGACCTCTGTCGAACATGTTTTGGCCTGGCACGTCACACGTTCGCACGGG